AGGGATGTGAGAGGCACACAAATGTCCCTGCAGGTGCTCTCTGTGCTGAGCTCCAGGCAGATCTCACCCAGCCCTGGCTGCACACCCCAGTATGAGCACAGACACCCAAAATCTCCCCCACAGCTGTAAAGGGATGTGAGAGGCACACAGGTGGTACCTGAGGCACACAGAGACACCTGCAGGTGTCCCTGCAGGTGTTCTCTGTGCTGAGCTCCACACAGATCTCACCCAGCCCTGGCTGCACACCCCAATATGAGCACAGACCCCCAAAATCTGTAAAGGGATACGAGATGCACACAAGGGGCCCTGCAGGTGCTCCCTGTGCTAAGCTCCACACAGATCTCACCCAGCCCTGGCTGCACACCCCAATATGAGCACAGACCCCCAAAATCTGTAAAGAGATGTGAGATGCACACAAGGGGCCCTGCAGGTGCTCTCTGTGCCCAGCTCCACACAGATCTCAGCCAGCCCTGGCTGCAGCAAGTGCAGAAGGGCTTGAGGCCAGGCATGAAAGTGAACCAGCACCATGGGAGGGCTGGGGGAAAACTTTTCAGAGGGAAAGAATTGTGCTTTGGCTCCACAGCACTGCAGCATCAGGGAGTCCAGCAGTGGATCTCACTGGGCTGGGCAGGGCATGGGACACTGTGGATGCAGGCTGAGAAGAGGCAGAGCCAGAGAGATGCTCTGAATCCCTGCCTCTCACCAGCTTTCCCCTAAGGAGCCCTGGTGATGTTTTGGAGAGCAAAGGTGTGAAGGTGTGTTGGAACACTCCCTCCCCAAAGCTGCTGGGTCTAGGAGAGGAGTGGACATCATTTGTGCCCTCTGCCCTCTGAATCACCACTCTAAACTGCTTGCACCCCATCCAGACCCTCAAGAGAGCAAAGCTGGAGGGCATTCAGCATGTCTGCAAAGAGCTGAGTGCCCTGCAAGGAGCAGGAATAGATGGTGTGTGCATTCTGGTCAGGTTTCCCAGCACTCTGGCTGTCAGCTCCAGCTCCTCACTGCCCCCCTGCATTTTTTTCTTTAATTTCTAGGATGAAACACATTTGGCAGATAAAAAAAAAAAAAAGGCTCTAAGAATTTAAACACTGAAAATGAAGTAGGGGAGACCCAAAGGACTTTCCCTCACTGAGCAAAATGTTTCTTCACCTGAATGCCATGACACCATCAGCCAGCTAAGGACACACCTGGGTACCACAGGTTCTTCTGCCTGGTTTCTTTTATTCAAATCCTTCTTTTATTTCTTTTATTCAAACCCAGGTGGAAGAAAAGATATTTAGGGCACCTGAAGGAAGAGGGCAATCTGTGCTGATAGAGGCACATGGTGTGGTGGTCAGGGCAGAGGAAGGTTTGGCTTTCCTGCTGCTTTGCACCCTCCTGCATCCCACTAATGCCAGCCCCAAGGGCTGTGAGCTGCCCTGGGGATTTTACAGCTGCTCACCTGCTCTGGCTGTTTCTTGTTGGTCCCAAGACCCCTGGGAGCCTCATCAGGTCCTGTTTGTTGTACCTGAAAAGTGGCAGCAAAACTGTGGAGCTCCAGAGCTGCTGTTCAGACAGATGTGAAGGGAATGTTTCTGAGGGCTTAGAACATCCTTGGAGCTGGGAACCACAGGAGCTGCCAGTGCAGGACCTCATGGGAAACTTCAAGAATCAAAAATACACTCCAGTTAGGGGCTTTCTCACTGGCACTGCAGGGTGCTTGTGATTTTCTATGAGAAGAGAAAGCAGAAGCAAAATGTGCTGGTCATCTGCAGAGATGCAAATATTTGGGATTCCCCTTCTTGAAATGCAACTAGGGAAGGGAAAATGGGAGAGTTTGTGGTTTTTGCTTCACTTTCTCCCAGTGTTGGACATGATCACAGCAGAGGGGAGGGAGGTTTTGAGGCAAAGCTCACTGGTGAGTCTCACTGATGTCCTTCAAAATGATACCCACTTTTGGGAGCAGAAAGGGCAAAACTGGGGTCTGGCTGTGGTGTGAGGCTGGGTCTTTCAGCTGTGGGTGCTTCACCAGGCAGACTTCTGGCTGTTTCAGGACTTTTGGGCTTTATTCTTCTCCCTTGGCAGAAGTGGCTCAGAGGCTCCTGCCCTGCTGAGAGTGTGAGCAGAAGGCACCCATTTGCTGGACAGCTGGGAGAGGAAGGAATGGGGCTGTGAGCAGCCTCTGGGCAGGTGCACATTGGAGAGGAAAAGTGGGATGGGAGGATGGGGGGAAGGGGAGCTACCTGCTCAGCTTGACACCAGAGCAGTGGTGAGGAGGAAATAAATGTCTGATCACTTCTTGATGGCCTGTAGGATGTTTAAAGGGTGCCTGGCTCTGCTGCCATGGGCCATCTGAGGCATGGCAGCCCTCCCCAGCCTCAGGACTGTGAGAACTGGGGTATCCTGTCACCTCAGCATCATAAACCGAGCTGGCAGCACAGGCACTATCCCTGTCAGAGCCCAGGAGGTCCCTGCTGCACTCATTTCCACATCCTAGGTGTGCCTTGGCACAGGGCCTGTCTGGCCAGAACAGAGATAATTGAGAGATGAACTGCAGCCCTGCTGTGCTCTGTGCAGGCCTTGCTCCCACTCCCCTTCCTTCTGGGACAGACAGAGTTGTCAGAGTTGCCCTTGGATTCAGCTTGTCCCTCCCACCCAGTGATAGAAATCCAGAGTTGTGTTGTAGGAGGGGTTCAGGCCACGTTCAGAATGTGAATCAGGCACCCTGTTCTGGAATGCAGCCTGTGGAATTCACCCAGGCTGAAAGGGAAGGGAAGGGACCTGTCTGGGCCACACAGAGGGTCTGAGGTGGCACTGGGGGAGAACTGATCCATCTCTTCTCATGCACTCCCTCAAGCCCAGCTCTGGCCTGAAAACATCCATGTTTTCTTCAAGAGGCTGAAATACTCGAACATTTCTTGCTCTGCAGGTTGTCACCCCTTCCATGGGGACTTGTCCTGGTCTCGGTGGTAAGAGGCAGAGAGGCATCCCTAGAATGTCTGGAGGTGACCCCCTGTGAGAACAGGGAGTGCTTGGGAGCATCCATCCCCTTGTGTGCCCCCATTTCTGGGAGCCTGCCTTGCAGAAAGAGAAACGGGAGTCAATCCTTTAAAATGCATGTGAGGGGAGCAGACAGGACTCACTTCAGGATGAAGCCTCACTTTTGGAGCTGGCTGTTTCCTCTTTCCAGGGGAAATTCAGGCTGCATTCCCAACCCCAGGGCTGGCAGGGAGCATGGTCTGAAGGATGCACTTAGACATGGGGAGACCTCAGCAGGGATGTCAGTGAGGGCATTGCTGTCACAGAGACCTCTTGGGCTGGTTTCTGTGGCTCCTGCTGACATCCAAGGCCAAGAGCAGACCCCACTGCCCGTGGAAAGGCATGTTTATGGCTGGGCTTCTCCAGCACCCACTCAGGACAGCCAGCTGCAAACATGTATCTGAACCAGATCAGGGAGAGAGAGGGTAAACCCCAGCTCACCAAGGCAGAGAAAAGGGCATTTCATGATCAGGGTATGTACAGGTGATCACCCACCCTGCCTTGCCTGAACCTGCAGAGCCAGGGTACAAGATGCCAGTATACAAAAGCCAGCCTTGCACACCCGTGTGAGGGCACAGCTCCTTCCCCATCCAACATGTGGACATGTACCAGAGGACATCACACAAATCGTCCTTCTGATGCAGAAGTCACTCTCTGCTGCATACACAGATGCACCCACAGCATTTTGGGTGGATGTACACTCACGTGCTTCTGTGCACATGCACAACTTGCCCCAAACTTGGGGTTTTTTTTGCCTTTCCACCTTTGTCTACCCCCCAAATCGGGGACAGCAGAGCTCTGCAGCCCTGCCCTGCTCATTTGGGTCTTTGAGACTGGAAAGGGTAAACTGGGACCGGGGGGGGGCCTGAAAGCAAACTAATGATGGAAATGTCTCCTCCATGCCTGTGCCTTAATTAAATGCATGGAGAGGCTCGGGGAAGCACATCTGTTTTCAATCTGGAGCCCTTTGATGGCATCAAATGTTCTTTCCCCAGATCAGGGGGGATGGAAATTCTGGGCTGGCTGTGGCAGCTCGGAGCCCCGGCCGCCGGGAGCTGCGGCCTGAGGCGGCCCCGGCCCCTCAGCGGCCGCGCTGTGCTGGGCACGGTCCGAGGGCCGCCACCTGTCCCCGGCCACCGGGGCCACCAGGGCCACCGCAGCCTGCGGGGACCGCTGTGCTTGCCGGCCTCAGCAGCTCCGACTGTGTCCTCGCGGGTTTTTTGTTTGTTTTTTCCCTTCCCTTCTGTTCACTTTACTCCCCTATCGCTCTGTTTCTCTCAGTTCTCCGCTGCACTTTTCCTTCCTCTTTCGCTGGTTTTTCCTCTTCCTTCCCTCTCTCCTGTTCGCACTTTCTCTTCCATTACCCTCGCTCACCTTTTCATCTGCATTTCTCATTTTCGCTGTTCCTCTCCTCACTCCCTCCCTCCCTCCCAGGGCCGCGGTCCACCCTCCCCTCCAGGTGCAGCGCCGGCCCACAACGGGGGCCTGCCCGGCTCCCCCCTTCAGCCGCGGGGCCTGCGCTGCCACCCGCGGCCCGGTGCCACGTCCCGGCGGGGCCCCGCGGGCCGCCCTCCCCCGGGTGCCCGGAGCCGCCCCCGCCGTTTGAAGTGCGGGGCGGAGGGGAGGGAGGGGAGGGCAGCGCAGGGGCGGAGGGAGCGGAGCCGGCGGCAGCGGGGGCGGAGGGACGGGGCGCACCCGCCCCAGCGGCCCCACAGCCGCCCTGCGCCTCTCGGCCGGCGGCAGCTCCCCGCGCCGCCGCCCCGGCGCCCCGAGCCGGCCGCCGCCTCTCCCCTCCGGCATGTTTTAAGCCCGGCCCTGCCCGCTCCCCTTCGGGCTTCCCTACCCGCCGCTGCCGTCGGGTCCCGTCCCGCTCGCCCCGCTCCGCTCCTTGCTACTCCCCCCTAGAAGCGCCGGCGGCTGGGGGGGCGCGGGGGCGGTGGGCGCCCGCGGGGGGCGAGGGCAGAGCAGCCCCGCTCGGCACCATGGCGTCCAGCTATGCCCACGCCATGGAGAGGCAGGCCCTGCTGCCCGCCCGCCTCGACGGCCCCGCCGGCCTGGACAATTTACAAGCCAAGAAGAACTTCTCCGTGAGTCACCTGCTGGACCTGGAGGAGGCGGGCGACATGGTGGCCGCCCAGGCGGAGGAGGGCGGCGGCGAGCCCGGCCGGAGCTTGTTGGAGTCCCCCGGGCTGACCAGCGGCAGCGACACCCCGCAGCAGGACAGTAAGTGCGGGGGCATCCTCCCCTTCCATCTCTCGCCGGGGCAGCCGCGGCGGGCGGTGCCGGCTCCGAGGGGGCTCCGCCGGTGCTTAGCCCGGCTTGGCCCGCTCCCCGAGCCGCCCTTCCCCGCCGCGCAGGGAGCCCCGGTGGGGTCGGCACCCGCCGCAGTGTGAAACCCTTGTTTTCCGGGGAAAGGGGCGACCTGCGCTTCGCCGCCGTGCCCGTCGGGTCCGGTGCCGTGGCTCCTGCACCCTGCGGGGAACCGGAGAACATCCCGGGGAGCACGAGCGGGCAGGAGCGGGCCCGTGGGCTCGGCCCCCTCGTCCATTCCTTGCCGGGGTGCACTGAGAACGGCGCTTGGCTGGACGGGGCGAGGCGCGCTAGGCGCTGAGCCTCCATCCATCCATCCTATCCATCCATCCATCCATCCATCCATCCATCCTATCTATCCATCCATCCATCCTGCCATCCCACCCATCCATCCTATCTATCCATCTGTCCGTCCGGCCGGCCCGTGGGAGCGGGCACGGCGCCGTGCTTAGCGGGACACCGGGAGGCTGCTCAGGGGTCTGGATGGGGTCCGGACCATTGTGCGGTGCCCTGCCGGGAGCGCCGGGGCTCGCCAGCAGCCCGAGGGTGCGTGCGCGGCTCCCGAGTGCAGCTCCCGAGTGCAGCCGCGGATTGCCGCTGCCCCGAGCCCCGCTTCTCCCCGACCCGGGCAGGACAAGGCAGAGGCCAGACCGGGCTCTGAGCTGCCCATCCTGAACAGTCCGAGCTCGCCGTGACCCAGCAGCCCCGCGGCCGTGGGCAGCGGGATGGGCGCCGGCTTGCGCGGCGTTTTCCAAGCGCCGCGTGTTGTTTTCCAAGGGCACCGCTGTCAGAAAGACTGAGGGGGCTGTGCAGGGTCAGTAACCCCCGTTTAGCCGCTCTCTGTTAAAATAATTACATCCTCGGCCGCAGGGAGTTCCGTGGGGGTCCGGGCTGGCCGCGGCTGCGGACACGGGCTCGCTTCCGAGGGAGCTTCGGCGAAAAACGGGGGGAAAAACAACAAAATGAAACGAGAAACGAACGAAAATGCGAATTGCAATTTTCGTTCGCTTTTCGATTTTTTGTTGGTTTGGTTTTCTGTGTTGTTTTTTTTTTTCCCCGCCGGAGCCGCCTCCGACCCTCTTTTCTCCGTGGATCCGACGTGGTTTTCTCGGTATTCCGAAGGAATCCGAGCTGGGGAAGCGGGAAGCCTTCCCAAAGCAGCCGCTCCTTGCAGAAGCGCCCGTGGGATGCCCGGGCTCGGCCCGGCCGGATGCGGTCCCGGCGGGGAGCATCCTCCAGGAGCGCTCGGAACGGAGCGAGCGGAGCGCGGCTGCCGGAGCGGCTCCTCTGCTCCCCGAGAGCCGCATCCACCGCCGCTGGGACATGGCTTTAAAATATTGCCTTCCCAGGACCCGAAAAACTGCAATTTCTGGCTTTAAAGGTGTGTATTTTAGCGGGGAAAACAGCGATTGCGGCTGCCCCCGAATCCCCAACTTGTGCCGCTGGAGAATCCGCAAGATATCAAATGCAGACAACTTTTTTTTTTTACTTCTGCTCTGTACCCAATTTAGTTTATCATATTTTCTTTGGATTCACTCCTGATTTACTCCGATTTACTCCTGATTTTGCCCCTTGCCAACTGCAAGCTCAGTCAGCGTGGAAAAGGAGAACTGTGTTTCACCAATACTCACCTTGCTCTTAAAGCAGGGGGAAAAAAAACCCAAAAAAAAGCTGTCCAAGGGCTTGTTTTCTAGTCAGCACTGCTGAGCAGGGACCAAACTACAGTTTCAAATAATTTAGAAATTCTCTGAATGCTGTAAAAGTTTTAATACCGTTGCGGTGAATTAGAAAGTTTTAGAAGTATTCTAAAGTAAGCAACGACAGAAAAAAAAGAAAGGGAGAGGAATAAATTCTGCTAGGTTTGTTGGGCAGAGCTGTCATCTGGGCTTTCTGGCTCTCTCATGGATGCATTTAGCATATCCCGGGAGTCTCTATGCCTCAGTTTCCCTATCTGCTGTGTGTGCTCTGTGAAGTGTTAGCAATCCATGCAGGAAAGGGACTGTGCTGGAGCTAGGAAATGCAGCAGAGGTAGGAGCTTTTCTGGGGGAAAAATGAGAATTGGTTTAGTGGGAAACCTAACACAGGGCTCAGTTACTCTGCTTGGTTTTAAGTGAGAAAAGGTAAAAGCCGTTTGAAGAAATTGTGGATTTCTCAAGAATACTAAAAATGTTCTTCCAGGCTGAAGAAAAATCAACTGGTCTGCCCCTGATTTTTGTCCCAAACTGAAGGGGAAAACCAAATTATTGGTGCTGGTTTTGTAAACAAAACTTAAGAAGTTTGACGCAGAAATTACAAAAGGTTTTGTTTGAATGTTTGATATTGAAGGAAATATTTCACCTCTGTTTTATTTGAGGGATGTTCAGGATAAAACATTTCTCTTATTAAAAAGAATAAAAACATTCCTGGGAGCAGCTGTGATTGTAACATTTGCAGGGAGAGCTGTCCGTGGGTTAAGGAGCTGAGTTTGCAGCAGCGCTGCGGAGCTGTCATTCTTACCAAGCTCACTTCAACTCGGAGCTCTGAACACCTTAACCTAAAAGCTGATAAACATCAGGGCAAACCTCCCTGCCTCTGCTGCTTGGCTGGGAAGGCTTTGCAATCCCAGTTCCAATTTGTCACCAAATAACCTGCTAAGGTTAAACCAACTCTTGCTGTGGTAGCTCAACTTTTGCTGAGTCCGGCTAAAGCTGGGATGAAAATGCTGAGCTGAGGGGATCCCCCAAACTTCCCAGAAAAGGCAATGATCTCCTGTTGCTTTTGTGCCCTATGAGGGTGACAGAAACCTGTCACTTGCCTCTGGGTTCCCAAAGCTTGTGGCTCTGTAATTCTCAATGATTGTTTGGTTTTTTTTCAAATGGGCATTTTTGACTTCTGCTTTTTTTTTTTTTTTGCTTAGTTTGTTTGAGGCTCACTGTTGATGGCTCATAAAATGGTGTGGAGAAAGCATGAACAGCAAAAGAAAAATTGTTACGCTGGGATTTCTTTCGTAAGGAGTGAATAAACCACGCTTCAGTCCATTACATGCTCAAGTTCTGTGTTTGGGGGTTTTTGCTGTCCTTTAATCTCTCTTCAGTATAAAAGTGCTGGCACTCAGGTGGCTGGCAGATTAAATCAGGCTGATTCCCAATTAAAGCTGGGCGCGGGCTGCCTGAGTCCCCCCATTATTTTTTTCCTGTCCCAGTGAGCATTGTGACCCCTCAGTGCTGCTGCTCCTTCTCAAGGAAATCCCAGGAGCCCTGCTGGGACAAGGTGAGTGAGTTCCTCTGCTCAGGCAGGTCAGTCAGTGCCTTCAGCCCCTCTGCTCTGGCAGCAGATTGAGGAAAGGCTTTTTCAGCCTTCTCACTGTTGGGTGATGGGGCTCAGCTCAGAAATAGGTGTTATTTCAAGAAAGGACTGGCAGATTCAGGGAGGGCTGAGCATGGCTGCTCACTGCAGCAGTGTTTGGAGGCAGTGTCCAGCTCAGGGAGCCGCCAGTCACAGGCTGCAAGGATGAGCTGGGGCAGAGATCTCTCCCTTGCTGCCTGGGCTTAAACCCTCTGACTGCTGTTCCTGGCTGTCTGAAACAGCATCCTGAGCTGGAGGACTTTGGGTCTGCTCCCACATGGCTTTTCGTTTTGCTTTGATTGCCTCTTTTTAATCAGAACAAGTGAGGTTGCTGCGGGAGTAAAAGAGAGTGTCTAAGTCCTGAATTGTCTGTGCTCCTGTGCCTCCCCATCCTTCACCCCAAAAAAAAAAAATTGCAAGAAGAGGTGGAAAAGCTCTGCCACTGCTTGGAAATGTGGAAAGCAATTCCTTGGGCTGCTGAGTTGCTGAGGATGAAGGTGAGAAGAAGCACCTGGGACATGTGCAGAGTTTTCTTTGCAAACCTCTGCTTTATCTCAGAGTATTGAGCATCTCTTTTGTTAGTAAATCACAGCCCCTATTCCCAGAAAATGCTGAGTCCATAGACAAGGGATGTATAACCAATAGATAGAAGAGGGGAAAATTGATTAAACCTTGGAGTTTTCTTCCTGTCTTGTCCTGCTGATGGACAGAGAGTCTTGGGGCAGCAGCTGGTGCTGGTGTCCCCAGGTTACAGCGGCGAGCGCCGGGGAAGCCGCCGGTGCCTCAGTCCCCACCAACAGCGGCAAATCTTCCTCAAGAAAGACTCTCCAGAGTTCTCCACTTCCAGAAACCGATGTAGGAAAAGCCAGGATCAGATCATTACTCTTTGTAAGGCGCTTGTTGTAAATTATCTGTGTGAAAAACGCGGTTCTTGGTCGGCAGCATCTTTGCGCGTGCCGGTTTTACTGCGTGTATCCTCGAGGCTTTGAGGAGAGATCACTTGAATGAAGGTTGAGATAACTAACATCAAGCAGTTGTTAGAAGCTTGATTAACTCCTTTCCATTTATGTTCCTTGGGCATATCTATCTAATTTTGACCTCAGGCTGGCAGATGTGTGATTATTGCAGCGACTGTCATGGTGTCAGACACATTTCTTGCATCCCTGAATCCTGCAGTTTGAAGTGGGAAAGCGTTTTGGGTTTGTTATGTAAATTTCTGCAGCTTCTGGGCAAAGACAGAAGATGGAAATGTGGCTCTGCCACATATCTGGAGTCTTAAAAAAAAGGCACAAGGAAATAAACGAAAGTGGTCAAGGTACTGATATTAACAAAGTAAAAAGAGCCATGTGAATGTACAGGAGGGAGCTGGCTCTGTTTGAGTGCTTTTCCTTTTGAGGGGGTGAAAAGAAACTTCTATTTGTTTGTGAATTTCACTTTTTTTTGATCATAATCAGTTTTGCTTCCTGGTTCTCATGGTCTCATAATTTGCTGATGGTATTTGTGTTTTCAATCCATCCACTCAGAGCTTCCAACTTTTTAATTTGAAAAAGATTTTGCCGAAGGTTTTTACTTTCCCTCCTTCCCCCCTT